ACACCACAACAAAATGAATGAGTGGAGAGCAAGCATGGACACATTCTCAACATTTCTCGCGCGTTGATTTTTCAAGCAAATCTCCCTATTCGTTTTTGGGGAGAAAGTGTTCTCGCTGCCTCATACTTAATCAACCGAACACCCAACAAGCTTCTGACTACAAGACTCCTTATGAACTCCTTCACGGAAAAGCTCCCACCTACAACAACTTAAGAACTTTTGGTACTTTCTGCTTCGCTAGATCAAAAGAAACAGAGATAAATTTGATGACCGAAGCACTAGATGCCTTTTCCTTGGTAATTCTATGGGAAAGAAAGGCTGGCTTGTGTTCGATCTTGAAACAGATAAAATATTTGTGTCTATAGACGTCGCATTTCATGAAGACAAGTTCCCATTTATGGAATCATCACCTCAGACCATCACCAATAAAGATCAAGAAGTTCAGCCTCCATCCACCTTGCAATCTTTGATACTGAACAAGAACAGGATCAAGCCCCTCCGATTGAATCTCCTTCGTGGGGAGCTAATGTCTCAGTTGACACTACAACAGTCCTTAAATCTATACATGTGTCTACTTCTTAGAATACTGAACCAGAGTCTACTGCTCAGAATACTAAACCAGAACTCGGTCATGGAAAACGGCAGAAATAGTCATCAGTCTTACTAAAGCCGTACGTAACTTATACTGCACAAGTTCAAGACCCTCATTACGCTCCTCGAGACCCCGACCCAGCACCATTGTCCTCAAGTAAATCTCCTTATCCCTTAACTAAATATGTATCCTTCCATCATTTTTCTCCTATACATCAGGCTTATCTCGCGAGAGTGGCTTCCGAATACGAACCAATTAGCTACAACAATCCATTCATTTTCCAAGACGGGAAAACGCTGTCATTGTTGAGGCTGATGCACTCGACAAGGAATCACACTTAGGATGTTACTGACATACAACCAGGAAAAGTAGTGCTATCGGATGTAAATGGGTGTTTTGGATCAAATATCGTTCAGATGACACTATAGAATGTTTCATAGCTCATCTAGTTGTACTGGGAAATCGACAAGAGGAGGGTGTTGATTACAAAGAAACTTTTGCACCAGTAGTCAAGATGACCACTGTTCACATTATTCTCGAAATCTCAGCGGCTAAAGGTTGGGAGTTGTTTCAAATGAACATACACAACGTGTTCCTTCATGTTGATCTGGATGATGAAGTTTACATGAAACTCCCACTTGATTTTCCAGGCACCACAATACTGGTTCGCTAAACTATCAGTGGTATTAACAGATTTTGGCTTCAAACAAAACTACTCTGACTATTCCTTATTTATGTTGAAGAAAGGGTCATCCATCATCTATGTACTGGTTTACGTCGACGATCTGATTATTGGTGGCAACGACTCTCCTCTCATCTCTAAATTCAAGACATATAAAAATCACAAGTTTCACATGAAGGATTCGATCTTGAAATATTTTCTTGGCATTGAAGTTAAACAAAGACCGCATCTACTTGTCACAACAAAAGTACGCACTCGACATCATTACTGAATATGGTCTTCTGGGAACCAAGCCCATTGATACGCTGATGGAACAAAATCAAACATTGGCTCGTGACAAAGGCAAATTTTTCTCTGAACCAACTAAGTACAGGCGTCTTGTTGAACATTTGGTTTACGTAACAGTCACAAAACCGGACCTTAGCTACGTAATTCACACACTAGCGCAATTTCTTCAGAAGCCACGCCTCAAACATTGGAATGCAGCGCTCCGAGTGGTGAGATATCTCCAAAACGATCCAGGCCAAGGCATTTTCTTAAGAGCTCATAACAACTTCACTCTATCTGCCCTACTGCGACTCCGGATGGGCTGCTTATACACTCACCAGAAGGTCACTAACCGGATATGTCATCATGTTAGGTGGGTCACTAGTGTCTTGGAAAACAAAGAAACAGCAAGTTGTGTCACGATCATCAGCTGAAGCTGAGTGCAGGTCTATGGTCTTAACCCTTTGCAAACTTAATTGGATCTCGAGCTGATGTGAAGCCTAGGCATTAGACAACTATCACCTACCTCTCTGTATTGCGACAATCAAGCTGCTTCACATATTACAGCGAATCCGGTGTTTCACGAATGAACCAAACATTTTGAGTTTGACTGTCATTTCATTCGTGATGCAGTTAAAGATGGCTTGATAGTCACACGACATGTACGGAAAACAAACCAACTGGCCGACATACTAACTAAGCCGTTAGGCAGTCAACAGTTTAACTATCTACTTGGCAAGATGGGCGTTCAAAATCTCTTTACACCAACTTGAGGGGAAATATTAGCGATAAGGTAAGATATTAATGTGATATGGATATACTTGTAAGGATATGTGGTATCTCCTAATATTTAGGACTAGAATCTATCTCTAACGTTGTATATATACTCACGACGATTTAATGAATAAACGAATAAACACATCAGAAACAGTTTGAAAATTTATATGCTATATAAATGT